CAGCTGACACTCGTTACCTCCGATTGGGAGTCACATGACAAATACAAGACCTAACCAAAACCACACACAACAAATGAACACACCCATATCCCAACCTAACCAACACAAACCCCAACAAAACGAATACACCCTGGCTCAAAATACAAGTCCTGGAGCCAGAGTGTGACAGTACCCCCCCCCTAAAGGCGCGGACTGCGACCGCGCCTCAACTAGGGCTAACCAAGGGAGGGCTGGGTGGGCATACCTCTTCGGCGGTGGTTCAGGCTCTGGTCGTGATCCCCACTCCACCATAGTCACTACCCGCTTTTGTAGCCTCCTCCACCTGACCACCCTCCAAATTAACCCCACCGGATTAAGGGGCAGCACCGGACTAAGAGGCAGCACCGGACTAAGGGGCAGCACCGGACTGAATGGCGGATCCTGGCTGGCTGGCGGATCCTGGCTGGCGGGCGGATCCTGGCTGGACGGCTCTGGCGGATCCCGGCTGGACGGCTCTGGCGGATCCCGGCTGGACGGCTCTGGCGGATCCCGGCTGGACGGCTCTGGCGGATCCCGGCTGGACGGCTCTGGCGGATCCCGGCTGGACGGCTCTGGCGGATCACGGCTGGACGGCTCTGGCGGATCCCGGCTGGACGGCTCTGGCGGATCTCGGCTGGACGGCTCTGGCGGATCCCGGCTGGACGGCTCTGGCGGATCCCGGCTGGACGGCTCTGGCGGATCTCGGCTGGACGGCTCTGGCGGATCCCGGCTGGACGGCTCATGGCTGGCTGACGGATCTGGCTGCTCATGGCTGGCTGACGGATCTGGCTGCTCATGGCTGGCTGACGGATCTGGCTGCTCATGGCTGGCTGACGGATCTGGCTGCTCATGGCTGGCTGACGGATCTGGCTGCTCATGGCTGGCTGACGGATCTGGCTGCTCATGGCTGGCTGACGGATCTGGCTGCTCATGGCTGGCTGACAGATCTGGCTGCTCATGGCTGGCTGACGGATCTGGCTGCTCATGGCTGGCGGACGGATCTGGCTGCTCCCGTCTGGCCGAAGGCTCTGGCTGATCCTGTCTGGCGGAAGGCTCTGGCTGATCCTGTCTGGCGGAAGGCTCTGGCTGATCCTGTCTGGCGGAAGGCTCTGGCTGATCCTGTCTGGCGGAAGGCTCTGGCTGCTCCTGTCTGGCGGAAGGCTCTGGCTGATCCCGTCTGGCGGAAGGCTCTGGCTGATCCTGTCTGGCGGAAGGCTCTGGCTGATCCTGTCTGGCGGAAGGCTCTGGCTGATCCTGTCTGGCGGAAGGCTTTAGCGGCTCCGGTCTGGCGGATGGCTCTGAAAGCTCATGGCAGACGGGCGGCTTATGCAGCGCTTGGCAGACGGACAGTTCAGACGGCGTTGGGCAGACAGGCAGTTCAGGCGCCGTTGGGCAGACGGGCAGTTCAGGCGCCGTTGGGCAGACGGGCAGTTCAGGCGCCGCTGGGCAGACGGCAGACTCTGGCCGGCCGAGACGCACTATAGGCCTGGTGCGTGGTGCCGGAACTGGTGGTCCCGGGCTGAGGACACGCATCTCAGGGCTAGTGCGGGGCGCAGGAACAGGGCATGCTGGACCCTGGGAACGCACTATAGGCCTAGTACGTGGTGCCGGAACTGGTGGTCCCGGGCTGAGGACACGCATCTCAGGGCTAGTGCGGGGAGCAGCAACAGGACGCACAGGACTCTGGGGACACACAGGAGGCTTGGTGCGTGGTGTAGGCACTGGTGGTACTGGGCTGGAGCGGGGAGGTGGCGCCGGAAATACCGGACCGTGCAGGCGTACTGGCTCCCTTGAGCACTGAGCCTGCCCAACCTTACCTGGTTGTATACTCCCCGTCGCCCGACCAGTACGGGAAGGAGGAATAACCCGTACCGGGCTATGTGGGCGAACCGGGGACACCATGCGTAAGGCTGGTGCCATGTAAGCCGGCCCGAGGAGACGCACTGGTGACCGGATGCGTGGGGCCGGCTTCATGACATCCGGCTCAATGCTCAGTCTAGCCCGGCCGATACGTGGAGCTGGAATGTACCGAACCGGGCTATGCACGCGTACAGGAGACACCATGCGCTCAACTGCGTAACACGGTGTCTGCCCATACTCTCGCTCTCCACGGTAAGTACAGGGAGTAGGCGCAGGTCTCCTACCTGACTTCGCCACACTCCCTTTAAGCCCCCCCCCAAGAAATTTTTGGGTAGTACTCTCGGGCTTCCAGCCTTGCCTCCGTGCTGCCTCCTCATATCGCCTTCTCTCGGCTTTAGCTGCCTCCAGCTCTTCCCGAGGGCGGCGATATTCTCCCGGTTGTGCCCAAGGACCCTTTCCATCCAATATCTCCTCCCATGTCCATGAATCCTTTGGAGGCGTCCATAAATCCTGTGTAGGTAGGTCCTGTTGCCGCTTTACACGCTGCTTGGTCCTTTGATGGTGGGTTTTTCTGTCACGATCGTCTGAGGAAGCGGACCAATACGCAGCGTTGCGAGTGAACATGATGACTTTAATTAGAAAGCACGTCAATACAAAACAAAAGACGAAAGTGAAGTCCAACAGAAACAATAACTAAACAGGAACAAAAACCCACAAACACAAGGTGAAACCACACAGTTTAAATATGGCTCCCAATCAGAGATAACGAGCCGACAGCTGACACTCGTTACCTCCGATTGGGAGTCACATGACAAACACAAGACCTAACCAAAACCACACACAACAAATGAACACACCCATATCCCAACCTAACCAACACAAACCCCAACAAAACGAATACACCCTGGCTCAAAATACAAGTCCTGGAGCCAGAGTGTGACAGTTTCTTTCTTCCGGTAGAAATAACAGCATTTTCCACATACTGTAATTTATAAATGGATAAGAGCTATTTATAAGGGCTAGGTAAATGAGCAATCTGTTCGGAGAAGAGGATTGTAAATACACATAGCAGTTGAACCTGCTGAGTTGATGTATGCGCTTTAGAATGTTTTAATTGTAGCTTATGCCCAGGCTTTTCTCCATTATATTGAACTATTTATTTATTTATTTACAATATCAGCCACTATCGGGAGACACCGTCAGTAATACCCTCAGACACTTATAACTGTCACTTTAATGTTAGTTTTCTTCAATTTGTATCTTACATTTTGCATCATTCCATTCCATTCCATTCTGTTTACCTTTCTCTCCTCTGTCACTTCCGTGTAAGTTGTTCCTGAGGGTTGCTAGCATTAGTGGATCATATTAGGCTAACATTGTGCAATAATTTGGGACATGTAGCCTATTTGAATCATTATGGAACTCAGACCACATGTAGCAGGTTAAACACTGTTCACAATGACCACCAATATCCCGTTATTATTCCAGGTACTGAAGTATTATGTTTTTGACTCATATCAACATCATATCCCATTTACAATAACCTGAAAACGCTGATCTTTATTTATTTATCTACCAGTTGGTGCAGAAATGGAGAAGATGCATAGATGGCATTCTTTCATTGATCCCTATTTTCTGAAACCGTTCTCTCAATGTAATTTAGTCTGTCAACACAATTCTAATTAAAGGTACATCGTATTTAAAGGGATAGCTTAAGAGACATTTACTGAAAAGTCCACGAGAAAATCTGCTGGCCAGCAAGTGTGGGGGTGTGGGGGTTTTCAGCGGTTTAATTACATTTATTCAGTGCATGCAAGGGAACCATGCCTGCAAAGCCCATTACACAACTGAATAAGGTAAGTCTGAAAACAAAATACTGAGAAATGCACAGGAAATGCATGCTTAGAAAAGAGGCATGCTTAGGAAATGTGTCAATTCCTAATTCTGAATCGGCCCCTATGTGTTTTATTGCACTAGGCCACCTTTTGTGTTTTGCATATGCACACAGTTAGACAGAGCGTGGCTTAGAATAATAATTCAACTGTATTTATACCTGAATTCTTACTAGACCCCTTCAGTCTGAAGGATCAGACCCCCTCATACTACACAGTCCTACTCTACAAGTGCAGACCCAGTTATTCTTAGAAAATACAGCAGGTAAGACAGCATTTTTGACACATTTACATGTTGGGTAAATTGTACCGTTTTTGTGTAGTAAGCACCGTGTATTTGATTCAAAAAGTTCTAATGCTATCTTTCTGTTTCACGAAGGCTCAGTTTGTTTTTAAATATGTTTTTTTTTTTTTCATCTTATGTTCATATCAAACATGGCACATTTGATAAAAAATCCTCCCCAAAAAACATACTCATATGCAACATATTTGGAAAACATTCAAATTTAAGCAAATGTAGAAAAGTCAGCCAGGTCACTCGTAAGTATTTGAGATCCATCCATGTCTGAGAATGTCTGCCTCTGATTCTAAATCTATCGTAAGCATCTGCCTCTGATTCCAAATCTGTCGTAAGCATCTGCCTCAAGCATCTGCCTCTGATTCCAAAGGTTGCAAGTTTGAATCCAGCAAAAGAAAGTTGTTTTTGAGATTTTTGTTTTAAGCCTATCCCAAACCTTAAGCCTTATGTTAACCATTTGGAGTTATTGCCTAACCTTAAGATTTTGGAGTTAATGCCTAAAGTTAACCCTAACCTTAAAAATGTAGAGTTGATGCCTAAATGTATTTATTTACCTTAAACACTTATACATTTGACGTTTGCAACAAGTTAGAAGTTTGACATTTGAGAAACATGGGTTAACGTCTAATTCTGATGTGAGACTGTGAGAGCTAGTTGAGAAAAATTGTATTCATCCCTGTGGTATGACATGGTTGAGGATTTGGTTTGACTGTCTGTGAGACATGGTCATGCACGCATGCAGAACAAGTGTCTACCTGTTGTAGATTGCTTGGTCTTGGCTACCTGTTGTTTGCAGTCCTGACCATTTATGATCAATCATACAGTGCAACTCTTGCTACTATGAAGGTACTCATAATACAGTCAAAGTGTTATGAAATCTGACAATTCCATATCCTCACACAGGACACCATCCTATCACCTCTCCTGACACCATGGAGATCACCCATCTCCTACTCCTACTCTGTGCAGGTAAGGACTCAAACTATCTAACACAGGAATGGGAAACTCCAGTCCTCAGGCACCAGAGCCTGTCACTTAAATTAAGTAATTTAACCATTATAGTCACAGATTATTCATATACCTGCTTTCCCAGATCTAAATCATATGTTTGGGTGGCAGGTGGCCTAGTGGTTAGAGTGCTGGGCCAATAACCAAAAGGTAGCTGGTTAAAATACCAGAGCTGACAAGGTGAAAAATCTGTTGATGTGCCATTGAGCAAGGCACTTAACCCTAACTTGCTGGGGTGCTGTACTACTATGGCTGATCCTGTAAAAACAACACATTTCACTGCACCTATCTGGAGTATTTGACATTAAAACATCTTAAGAAATAACAAAACCCTATTGACAGTCCAGTGATGCCCATTGCCCACAAGATTAGTAACACGTGAGATAGCAACCTGGGTCTCCCACGGGAGCAACCAACATCTTAGACCAATAGGAAATTGAAGTCTGCAGGTGGAGTTACCTCATCACGACTCATGTCCGCTACAGTCACGCCCCTTTGACCTCCTCCCCCATGAGACCGCCCCACGTTAGGCACCATTGTAACAGGCGTGATCTGAACCCGGGTCTCCAGAAACCAACGTCTTAGACCGTTAGACCGATAGGAAATTCCCCTATTGGGCTATGGGCAGACACTGGTTTTGACGTTCGCAGGCGGGGTTACCTCATCACGTGACCATTACTGACTCATATCCACTACATAAACACAATATCACAAAGCATTAAACTAACCTCTCTTTACTTCATTTGTTGGCCATATGCTAACATACTTTCTGTCCTCAGGTGTCTGCTGCACAGCCGTTCATAGCCGTCTCAGACAGTTTCATCTCAATATGACAAGTGCCGAATGGAGAGAAGCACTGACATGCTGCCGGACGAACTATACTGATCTAGTCACTGTGTACAATCAGGAGGAAGCTAAGCAGCTGAAACTGTTATTGACATCTAATGACAACACAAGTGCCTGGATAGGTCTCAGTCGCAAAGAGCACAGTCTGAAGTGGTCCAATGGAGACCCTGTTAATTTCATTCCATGGTTACCACTTCCAAGCCCGCACACAGAGCCAATGTGTTTTTCAATAATCAAAAACAATACAATATGGTATAATTGTACAGATAATAAATACTTCATGTGTTACAAAAAAGGTAAAACATTCAATACACTAAAACATTTCCTGTATCTTGTATCTAAATATTATGATATTTATATCAAACTAAGTTGCATATGAATCTTATGTCTTTGGAGACAAATTGCAAAAATTAATATCAATAATAAAATCGATCTATTCTGTGTGTGTGTGTGCATGCGTGCGTGCGCGGGCGTGTGTGTGTTTAGGGGTCCATGATTCCTCCCTTAGATACAAGCTGATTGAACAGAACATGACCTGGTATGAGGCTCAGACGTACTGCAGGAATAAATACACTGACCTGGTCAGCATCATGAATGATGTACAGAAGGAGGAAGTGGAGAACAAAGGGATGAACAGCACTACTCCTTACTGGATCGGCCTGCTGTATGATGACTGGGAGTGGGCTGATGGAGGGAGATCTGCCTACAGAGACTGGTGGCACACACCATCCATAAAATATCCTGGAGCAGCAGAAAATGGCACATTTCTGTGGCCATTTGGTATGACGACTGTGCCACTCATAAATAGAGGCAATGTACTTTGTTCTGAAGGTAAGTTGTCAAAGATGAGCATAGTCAATGTTTTGAAAAGTTCCAACTGTTGATCCTTATGTGCCTGCTCATCTCACCCCTAAAAGGTGTCAAAATGAGTTCAAATACATATTTCAACTATCCTCAATTATTTAATCTGCAATCTGAAATGCCACATCTGAGTCTTTAGGAAGACCTGAAACTGGGAAGAAGCTCTCTTTCAATAGAGTGTGTCTGCTTTAAGAAATGAACCAAAGACCAGGGGCCTCATTTAGATACCTACTAAATACACACCAAACCATGCGTACGCAAGTTTCCCGCAAAAGTAGGGATTTATAAAAACGGAACTTGAAGAAGTGAAAATGTGCTCACCTTCCCACAAACTTTAGACCATGCGTATGCACATTTCTAGTGGTTGAAGTATTGCATTGCAAGCAGGCAAGTAGATTAGTATTTTGTGCTTTTATACTTGAAATAGCTAATCTACAGTATTTATTACTGTGAAGTGTGTCCAAATTAAATGAGAGATGGGACAAATGGTAGCCTATCCTAACTTAATTGTTGTCGGCATATATAAGCTATTTTGCGAGTATGAAACCATCAGTCAGAAAATGTGAAATATGAAATCATTTTCTGCAATGATCATGGAAATGAAATAGCCTAAATAATAGCAAACACACGGAGTGTTCAAAACATTAGGAACACCTGCTCTTTCCATGACATAGACTGACCAGGTCTATTGATGTCACTTATTAAATCCACTTCAATCAGTGTATATGAAGGGGAGGAGACAGGTTAAAGAAGGATTTTTAAGCCTTGAGACAATTGAGACATGGATTGTGTATGTGTGCTATTTAGAGGGTGAATGGGCAAGGCAAAAGATATAAGTGCCTTTGAACGGGGTATGGTAGTAGGTGCCAGGCGCACCGGTTTGAGTATGTCAAGAACTGCAACGTTGCTGGGTTTTTCACACTCAACAGTTTCCCTTGTCCAATAAAAACATTGACACAAATGTGGGAGGCATGGGAGTCAACATGAGCCAGCCTTCCTGTGGAATGCATTCGAAACCTTGTAGTCCATGCCCCGATGAGTTGAGGCTGTTCTGAAGGCAAAATGGGTTGCAACTCAATATTAGGAAGGTGTTCCTAATGTTTTGTCCACTCCATGTATATTCCCAAATATGTTATTTTCTCTGTTACGCTGTGTGCACTGAACTGACATGCATGATTGTTGATGACACTCCGATGTTCAGATGAAGATAATTAAATAGTCTATAATGTGCACTGCAGCAGCTGTGTGTAGCCTGCTGTAGCTGCTGGCAAAGTTATTCAAAGCCTATTCTTTATCACTCAGGATGTAACGATCTAGTGCTACTATTTTTTGCCATGTAATGTTGTTATTAAAATAAAAACAGACAACCCCATAGTAAAATAGTTTACCTGTTTACCTAGTTGGCTTGCTGTTGTGTGTTCTATGCGAGATAAATATTATTCTCGAGGCGCATTCAAGTTGCGAGAGCCATAGGAGGGAAACGTATTCTGACAAGCAGTCAATGAACAGCCATTCTTAATGCAATCGCGGTAAAACACTTTTGAAAGCAGTTTTAGCAAGTTTATTTTGAAAGCACACCGCAAAACATGTTTTATTGGCAGCACAGTAGCCAGTAGGTTACTCTCAATTTACAGTAAAATGGCCAGTTGTGCAACATCTGTAATGTCCGTGCTTTCATCAATTGCAACCGAAAACGCAATAAATGACTTTACTTTTTGCTTCAACTTGCTGTCCAAATCCACTGAAAGATCGGAAATCCTGTCTGCAACTGTGTTTCTTGTCAGGCTGATATTTGCAAAAGCCTGGTGCTTTTCAGGGCACACAATCTCTGCTGCCTTTCATTAGCAATGAGGTAGCTAGCTTTCACTGCAGCGTCACTGATGTCTCGGCTGTGAGTAAACACAGACTGCTGTTTCTTCAGACCCACCAACAGTTCATTCACCTTCTCTCTTCTCCGCTGTCCTTGAAAGTTGTCATATTTGTCGGCATGAAGACTCACATAGTGGCGACGAAGGTTATATTCTTTCAGCACTGCAACATGCTGTGAACACACCAAACATACAGCTTTCCCATTCAATTCCGTGAATAAATAGAAGGATGACAATTTTTCTTGGAACACTCTGCACTCTGCGTCCACTTTTCTCTTTTTTGACAGAGACATATTGGGGCAATGAGGGTGCCAAAGCACATAATGTTAAAAGTAGAAGCCGTAATAAATATAGCGGGCAAAACAAAGTAGCTCATCCGGACTGGCTGCACTTGCTTGACCTATTTGCTCTGCCCTGGCATAAACAGTTTGCTTGCTTAACACAATTGCTATTGCGCCATCCAGTGGACACAATTGGAACAGCATTTTATTTTATTGAAAAATTGCAGCTCATTTTTATACTTTACAAAATCATCTCGCGAGACGGATTAAACCCGTTTGCGGGCCTGATCCGGCCCGCGGGCCGGACGTTTGACACCCCTGATATAGACCATGCATTGGCAATATGCATGGTCCAATATGTTAAAATAATTTTTACATAATTTTTACCAGTATGTTATTGGGCCCATTTCTAGAGGTGGAAATTATATTTGAGATCAGAATCATTTAATTTAATTAAATATTGGAGTCACCAGAACTGAGCTACATAACAATTATCCCGGGGAGAACCCCAAACATTTTAGTCTTTTAGCAGACAATCTTATCCAGAGAAACTAGGGTTAAGTGCCTTCAAGGGCATATTGACAGATTTGTTTTATCTAGTTGGCTCGGGGATTCAAACCTTTCGGTTACCACTAGGCTACCTGCCACCCTAAGCAAGGGGACTGGAATTGGTCAAACTCACAGTTTAATACATGTACAAATTTATCCTCTGTCCCTAAAAGCATGACTTTCTTACATGAAAAGGGATTTTTTTTGCTTTAACCCTTGCCCTTGGGAACAAGCTCTAATCTTTAATGTTCATTTACATATCTATTATTTCTTATTTATCCATTCAAAGAAAGCAAAAGTATACATTTCATAGTTATAAAAAGTTTAATGTGAAAGAACAACTGTCAGTGTTGATTATAATTCGTTTGGAATGTCTTTCAGGCAATGTTAACATCCACATCATCAGAGAAAGAATGTCTTGGGAACAGGCTTTGGACTACTGCAAGAATAACCATGATGGACTGCTGCGTATTGAGACAGAAGATGACCTAAAGGTGATCCAGCATACGTTAAATGTGTCTAATTTAACTGGTCATGTGTGGGTGGGTCTGAGACAGAGCCGTCTTTTTGGGTTCTGGGTCTGGACCAATGGGCTGCCAGTGGGGTGGAGTAACTGGGAGGGAGATTGGCAGCCTGAACAGCCTCTTTCCCATCACTGTGGTGCCATGGCAATGGTAGCAGGATACAAGTGGAGTCATCAGAACTGTCTGTCCAAGCACTACTTTATTTGTGAGGAGTAATCATACAGATGGAAAGAGGCCTCATCATTGTATCTGTGCCATTATGGCGTCTGTGACAGCATGGCCAGAGCCATTGAGGATATCTAAATTTTGGAGTAGTAAATTTTTCTTTTTAACTATTGGCTGATCCCTCCTGATGATGTGGTTGCACATGACTCCAACAGGGTCACAAGGAGGGAATAGCCAATGAAGTTGGTAGTCCCACCCAGTTTACTATATTAAAATGGTGGAAGTCCTCAATGGCGCTGCCCATGCTAAAATGGCCTTTTGGGCTCTAGAGGCCTCTATCATTCTTTATGGGAGTGATACATTTGCACCTTGTACATATTTTGATTGACATGTTGTTTTTAGGTAATTGCTCATTGAAATTATATTTCCAATGTCTTGTAATGTTTAAGCTTACAGCATGCAATGTAATGTACAATATACCTTGTTATCAATAATCTTTTAGTAACATTGTAAGATATTTCAGATATTTGAACATTTAAAACAATAATATATAGATTATACTGTATGTCATGTGATCTCATGTTATATGATGATATCCTCTAGCATAATATGTAAGCCATTTAGCAAAATATTGATTCTGCCTAAATAGACATAACCACACTTAAATGTTCTTCATGAGGTGATCATAAACAATAAATGGTAATGTTGCATAGTTTTAAAAAGGTCTGGAACTCACCTTTCTGGTTAAAAAAAATATACTGAACAAAAATATAAACGCACCACACAACAATTTCAAAGATTTACTGAGTTACAGTTCATATAAAGAAATCCGTCAATTGAAATAAATAAATGAGGCCCTAAACTATGGATTTCACATGACTGGGCAGGGGTGCAGCCATGGGTGGGCCTGGGAAGGCATAGGCCCACCCATTTGGCAGCCAGGCCCACCCACTGGGTAGCCAGAACCAGCCAATAGTTTTTCCCCACAAAAGGGCTTTATTACAGACATAAATACTCCTCAGCACCCCCCTCAGACGATCCCGCAGGTGTAGGAGCTGGATGTGGAGGTCCTGGGCTGGCGTGGTTACACGTGGTCTGCGGTTGTAAGGACGGTTGGACGTAATGCCAAATTCTCTAAAACGACGTTGGTGGCAGCTTATGGTAGAGAAATTAACATTCAATTCTCTGGAAACTGCAAGAATGCTCTGGTGGACATTCTTGCAGTTGGCATGCAAATTGCACGCTCCCTCAAAACTGTTGTGTGACAAAACTGCACAATTCAGAGTGGCCTTTTATTGTCCCCAGCACCTGTGTTATATCACAAGTGTTGTATGAACTCTGTTGTACATCAGTTTTACAATCTGAGTATGTAAGGGGCCTGACTCATTTTCTATGTAGAGGGGTTGGCTGACAACATCCCGAAAATGATTCGCTCGCATCGATGAGGCAGAAGGCCGTGTGGTGTTATGATTCTGAACGTTAAGATAGCTAGCAACAATGAGAAGAAGCAGCCATGTGGGGAATCATTGGTGGCTCGTTTCAGCTCATTGTATCTTGTTATTGATACCATGTCTTGTTTTGGGGTGTTGTCAGTCATGTCATGACTATGCTAACATGGCAAAAATGAACTAGCTAGCTAATCAGCAACTATAATAATTTATTTGAGAGACAACAAGTGCTCATTGTGCAAATGTATGTTTTCAATTAACATCTGGAGACAATCTAAGCCAACCCCGTCTGTTTTGCCCCATAGTAGCGCATGCTCTGTTTTTGTTGCAGAACAACCAACCCATCATCTCGGACGCTATAGAAGTCAAGGGCGGCAGGTAGCTTAGTGGTTAAGAGCGTTGTGCCAGTAACCGAAAGGTCGCTGGTTCTAATCCCCGAGCCGACTAGGTGAAAAATCTGTCGATGTACCCTTGAGCAAGGCACTTAACCCTAATTGCTCATGTAAGTCGCTCTGGATAAGAGCGTCTGCTAAATGACTAAAATGTAAATGTAATCTCTAAGATACTTAAGCAATAATGCCTGAGAACCCAGGAATTATCGTGTAACAATTCCCAACAAAGGCTGTTCTGAGGCCCGAGGAAAAGCCAAGGGCTGGGATACAGCCCTTGGAGGGAGTTATCACAATATTATTAGTGGTTTTGAGGGCATTATTGATTTTATAAAATGGTTGCCAACATATTTCTAAAAATATTAATGACATTTTTCATTACTAATAATATTTTAACGAGTACATTTGTTTTTGCATTCTGAAGTTTATACCCAAGCGGGCTGGTCGTTAGTTATTTTATCATGTTTTGACCCAGTCGTTAATTCTAATAATTATATTCATTATATTCATTACGTTGCAATGCTAAACAAATAATTGTCTCTGTACCTAGCTAGCAGAGATGTAATGATGATGAGAGACAACCCAGATAGAAACAAATGTCCCCCTGCTTGCTATTTCCCGCAGTTGCTACCCCCAAGGCTATAAATTCCTACCGCCAGCGGGCGAGTGTAGTTTGCCGCTCAAGATGTGATTTGCATCTCTTGCGGGTATCCCCAATTCAGAGGACCCTATAAGCCCTCGGCATGCCGCTTTTGCATCTCTGGCATTTAGCCTCCACACAGAGGACAGCTATACACCCTAGGCAAGCCATCTAGCCATGAGTTAATTTGAAAGACAATAGTCAGAAAATTCTCTAATCTCAAATTCGGCATGCCACCTTTCAGCTAACCACAGCCAGCTAAAGGCTGCAAGCTAAATTTGCCAATTTAAAAGCAAAAACAACCACACACGAGGACACAATGCATAAAAATTAATTGAGGATGAAACAAAAGTGATACACCTAATAATTTACAGTTTATATCCATTAATAGCCTACATTTTTGTCATTCGTTTTATATACTAGGCTATATTTGAGGCAATACCAACTGTTCCTAGCTTTGTTAAAGAGATGCCACTCCCTAAACCGCTTCACACAAAGTGTTGATCACTGTCATTAAGGATGAAATTGTCTGTGGCCATGAAGCCAATTCTAGTCTACTGTATTGAGGTCATTAATACATAGACTACGTAGACTGTAAATGTAATTCCATGGCCTGTTTATTGCTTCAAACTATGTTCAAATCTAAGCCACAGCCAATGTTGCAACTTGCAATGTAAATTTCAATGAATAGCCTGCACTGCTAAACTTTAGGAACCCATAGCCATTTAATTGGGGGGATGTCAGCCTTTTGAACTGTGACCACAGATAGTGGAGGGTAAATTCAAACGACCCCCTTTTTCCCCTTCATTCACCAAGTATTGTTATTTGCATTAGATATGCATAGGCTGCTACAGTCTAGGATTTATACTCTCCTACAACCTTGCCAAAAAGGTAAATGCACACTACGTACAGTAGGTGGCGGCACCTCTTAAACCCTCCCAGAATAATCTGGAAAGCCAAATGTCATCAATCAACGTGTTCTCATCCCTCGGCGTCTAAACCTGACGAATGGACATGGTTCCTTTTGCATCAAATAGCCGACACGGAAGGCGCCTGTAATGAATTGAACATAACGGTTAGGGCGATAAAGAAAGACGTGGGGACATGTTTCGCACGCACACATACGAATCCGGTGTCGATAAAACCAGTAGCTTGCTAACAAGCTAGGAGGTTGGTATATAGCTACACTGGAACACACTTCTGCTACTTTAAATCATTTTTTATTGATGTAGCTAGCACTAAATAATTGTTAATTACTGCCTTATTTAATAATATTTTCGTATTTATGGTTAAATGGTTTTGTCCTCTTCAGCCTTCAGATGGCCGTTAGCTAGCTAGCTGAAATAAGTTACTGTACTGAAACGTTAGATGGCTATAAACTGTACTGTTGTAGCTCCACAGAATTTGTAATACGTGAATGGAGTGGGAAGAAGGTCCACGACAACATTCTCTCTTCAGGATGTTTATTGAAGGCAAGTTATAACACTATAGATACTGTTTAGCTCCGGTACAGATCACACGTACAGTTGAAGTCGGAAGTTTACATACACTTAGGTTGGAGTCATTAAAACTTGTTTTTGAACCACTCCACAAATTTCTTGTTTACCAACTATAGTTTTGGCAAGTCGGTTAGGACATCTACTTTGTGCATGACACAAGTAATATTTCCAACAATTGTTAACAGACAGATTATTTCACTTATAATTCACTGTATCACAATTCCAGTGGATCAGAAGTTTACATACACTAAGTTGACTGTGCCTTTAAACAGCTTGGAAAATTCCAGAAAATGATGTCATGGCTTTAGAAGCTTCTGATAGGCTAATTTACATCATTTGAGTCAATTGGAGGTGTACCTGTTGATGAATTGCAAGGCCTACCTTCAAACTCAGTGCCTCGTTGCTCGACATCATGGGAAAATCAAAAGAAATCAGAAAATTGTAGACCTCCACAAGTCTGGTTCATCCTTGGGAGCAATTTCCACACGCCTGAAGGTACCATGTTCATCTGTACAAACAATAGTATGCAAGTATAAACACCATTGGACCACGCAACCGTCATACCGCTCAGGAAGGAGACGCGTTCTGTCTCCTAGAGATGAACGTACTTTGGTGCGAAAAGTGCAAATCAATCCCAGAACAACAGCAAAGGACCTTGTGAAGATGCTGGAGGAAACAGGTACAAAAGTATCTATATTCACAGTTAAATTAGTTCTATATCGACATAACCTGAAAAGCCGCTCAGCAAGGAAGAAGACACTGCTCCAAAACCGCCATAAAAAAGCCAGACTACGGTTTTCAACTGCACATGGGGACAAAGATCGTACTTTTTGGAGAAATGTCCTTTGGTCTGATGAAACAAAAATAGAACTGTTTGGCCATTATGACCATCGTTATGTTTTGAGGAAAAAAGGGGTGCTTGCAAGCCAAAGAACACCATCCCAACCGTGAAACACGGGGGTGGCAGCATCATGCTGTGGGGGTGCTTTGCTGCAGGAGGGACTGGTGCACTTCACAAAATAGATGGCATCATGAAGCAACATCTCAAGACATCAGTCAGGAAGTTAAATCAAATCAAATCAAATCAAATTTTATTAGCCACATGCGCCGAATACAACAGGTGCAGACATTACAGTGAAATGCTTACTTACAGCCCTTAACCAACAGTGCATTTATTTTTAACAATAAAGCTTGGTCGCAAATGGGTCTTCCAAATGGACAATGACCCCAAGCATACTTCCAAAGTTGTAGCAAAATGGCTTAAGCACAACAAAGTCAAGGTATTGGAGTGGCCATCACAAAGCCCTGACCTCAATCCTATAGAACATTTGTGGGCAGAACTGAAAAAGTGTGTGCAAGCAAGGAGGCCTACAAACCTGACTCAGTTACATCAGCTCTGTCAGGAGGAATGGGCCAAAATTCACCCAACTTATTGTGGGAAGCTTGTGGAAGGCTACCCAAAACGTTTGACCCAAGTTAAACAATTTAAAGG